GAATAGTGAAAGATACCCTTTGCTTTTTTTTTTTTTTTTTTTTAAATCAGTTTCTGGTAGCTAAGCTGGAGCAAAAAGAGAGGAACGTCCAGGTATCTCCGCAGTTAACCAGCCGACGGTTTCAGGACACACTTTTGGAGAGAAAAGGAGACTGACGGACAGGTGATTGAAGAAACCGACAAGCAGACGGCCTGATGGCATAAGCTACATTTCCTTTAGGAAGCCAGGCCTTTCAAATAAATAAAATTAGGTCCTTTCAAATAAATAAACAAAAATAATGGCAGAACTGTACTGTCTTCATTTTATATCTATCATTTTATAATGGCATTTTCTCTTTGTAATACACTAGCGACCATCAAGAGATAAACCTATTCAATTAACACAGAGATGAAAAATGCAAATTCAGAAACTGAACAAGGTTTACAAAAATTACTTTTCCTCCAGTGAGCCACAGAGCCGAAAGCAATGACACCTGCAATAAATGAACTTTTTCTTGAAGAATAATGACTCATTAAAGATTATGAGCATCCGCAATGAAGGCAATCTGGACCAGATATGAGGGATGGGAAGGACAGTTTCAGGAAGGTTTGGATGGCTTTATTTAGTTTGCTATTCTGATGCTCATTCCAGTGGCTCCAGGAAATCACCCGGTTCTTCATCCATGTATTTCACCCTTCATTCTTTTTCAGCAAACCACTCTGACAGATCCGTATGCATCTCGTACCATCCCATGTAACGTCATTAGTTCTGGCTTCTTCAGGGATGCGAAAGAGCAGAATGTACGCCTGTCCCTCCACAACATCCCTGAGGTTGTTCATCCCGAGGGCGAGAGGTATCAAGAGCAAAACCTGAGAGACACCTTAAAATAACTTAAAAACAGCTTGAGCCAGTAACTTAAAAACAGCTTGGGCTTATCAAAGGAGTTTTGTTCCTCCTAATCTCGTGTCAGAAACACATCTTGGCACAATAAACCATGATCCGTGGTGGCTTGGGCTTTGTGGGAAGGCTTCTGGTGTTCAGTTGCCTGAGGAGGGACTTTGCACAGTTAGAGCAAAGAGGTTTGAAACCCAGCACTGCAGCTGGATGTGGCCTCTCAGCTGGGCGTTGAAAATTAGCTGACATTTTGACATTAATGCCTGCTTTTTCATTTCCAATCCACAGCACGGTGTCACTGACTTCTCCTCCTCTGAGGTGGGGTGGTCCCTATAATAAGCCTTCAGTGTTTCAGTCCTACTGGGTATCAGTATCAATTTGATGAGGAAAAAAAAAAAATTAAAAAAATCAAAACCCAATATAAAACTTGACGAGGAAAACAGCCGTACTGCCAGTGCAGAGCTAGAGGAGAGCCGCTAAG